AAAAAAAAAAAAAAAAAAAAAAAAAAAAAAAAAAAAAAAAAAAAAAAAAAAAAAAAAAAGGAAAGAAAAAAAGCTTTTTTTGATATATCACGTAATTTTAAATATTTAATTTTTGTTAAATTAATCTTTATTATTAATTTTTTAAAAACTTATTTCACACAAATGGGGATTTTTTAAATTTAACAGACTTTTAGTTTTTAGATATCCACTTAAACATCATTTTCACTTGCACTAGGTTTAGTTATTAGATATCCACTTAAACATCATTTTCACTTGCATTGGGTCCCAGTCTCGAAGGAGACGAGAGTGGCACGATAATGGTTACCCCGATGATTTTGATAGAAAAATAGTAATAGAAATGGCTCAACCGAGTTCAAACTAGTGACCTCTTGATCTGCAATCAAATGCTCTACCACTGAGGTTCATAAAAACCGGATTTGAATCGGTGACCTCTTGATCTACAGTCAAATGCTCTACCACTGAGCTATGAACCCTTGCATCTATACATATTTATTAAAATTCACACCTTTGAAATCGCTCAAAATTTCAAAGACAAATGCTCTACCACCGAGGTTCATACTTGATAGAAAAATAGTAATAGAAAGGGCTCAACCGGGTTCGAACCGATGACTTCTTAATCTGTAGTCAAACGCTCTACTACTAAGCTATGAACCCTTGCATCCCTGCATATTTATTTAAATTCACACCTTTGAAATCGCTCGAAATTTCGAAGACAAATGCTCTACTACTGAGGTTCATACTTGATAGAAAAATAATAATAGAAAGGGCTCAATCGGGTTCAAACTGGTGCATATTTGTACTTGATAGGAAAATAATAATAGAAAGGGCTCAACTGGGTTCAAACCGATGACCTCTTGATCTGCAATCAAATGCTCTACCACTGACCTCTTGATCTGCAATCAAATGCTCTACCACTGACCTCTTGATCTGCAATCAAATGCTCTACCACTGACCCTTGCAGCACCCCTTGCATATTTACTAAAATTCACACATTTGAAATCGCTTGAAATTTCGAAGACAAATGCTCTACCACTGACGTTCATAGAAAAATAGTAATAGAAAGGGCTCAACCAAGTTCAGTTCGAAATAAAAAGGGCTCAACCAAGTTCAGTTCGAACCGGTGACCTCTTGATCTGCAAGAGTCAAATGCTCTACTACTGAGCTATGAACCCTTGCATTCTTTGCATATTTGTTAAAATTAACACCTTTGAAATCACTCAAAATTTTGAAGACAGATGCTCTACCACTTGGGTTCATACTTGATTTGTGAAAATGAGTGCAAACATAGTGACCTAAAATTCCTGAAGTGGAGAATGATATGAATCAAAAAAACATCAATCATACAGTATACTTCAATAAAGATATGAAAAAAATGAAGAAGAATGAAAGTTCATTGTTATAAATTTTGGGTAGATAATAATTTAGAGTTGATGTTTCTTTAATGTATTTTAAGACTTATTTACGTAGTGGCTAATTATGATCATAAAGTATCGTAGTCACGTATGTTACCTTACAGTATGTTATCTTTGTAAGATAGACTTGAAAAATAGAGCAAAAGAAGCATCTCAAACAAGTGTTATTGCCTTGAAATATTCAATCTTACTTACTTGTGGAGTGATTCGAATCTCAAACAAGTGTTATTGCCTTGAAATATTCGATCAACAAGATAATCTGAATCTTACTCCCCTTAGAGTGATTTCATATCATTTGGTATCAAAGCCCTTATGCTGATTTCATATCATAGAGACTGCGCATGTTTAATTAGTGAGTCTTAACGGCTCTACCTTTTCTTCATTTCGTGGCGAGAACGGGACGTTGCATGCTGGTTAGGGGACAGATTGGGAATAGCTCATTCAGGGGCATTCTTCAAGAATTAGGGGCACAACACCTCGAGGCAAAAAAAAAAAATCATTATATGAGGTGTGCTCACTCACTCACAAGGATGAGTCTTCTTGTTTGGGTCGTGATGGCACTGGAGAATGAGGCGAGCGTGTTGAGGTCATGATGCAGAACCAAGGCTGGACCAACCACCATAATATCACAACAAAAGCTATCAGGCACCGGTAATTTTGGTTTAGGTCATGACGCAAAACCGAGCTGAGGTCATGACACTCATACAATCTTGGTAGGGGTATTTTGGTCATTATGCACCGTAATTTTGGTTTAGATCCTAAACATACTTCAATTACTTTGAAACCATGCCTAGTCACTTGTATTCTTGAAAATAGGCCTCATATAAAATCTTAAGTTATTCGGAGTTTATTTGGTCGAAATCATCTCCTCACAGTAATGTCGAAAAAAGTCTATCATCATAGCACGTTCTAAACGTGCTTAAAAATCTATATTTTACAAGCTATAAATTCAGATTTATCCCTATAAATTTTCTGAAGAGCTACAACATTTTCAAAAGCTTGATGCCTCAAGACAGACAGTATAAAAAATGAAGAAAATGGGAAACATTTTAGCAGCTATAGCTTTAGAGGGTAAGGGATATCTAACCAGGGGAGCTTGGCGGAGCTTGTTTCAGGGACTCCAAAAATGGGGGCGGGGTGGTTTTCTGATGGATATCAACTTGGAAGACTTGAGCGAATTGGTGTATTAGAGCTTCAAAAGTGATATCAATCAACTGGGAATCCTTGTCAAAATGTATGCTGTTCTCGGCTTCTCTCAGCAGCAGCAGCAGCTCCTTGATGTTTCCGACCTGCCGGTTTCTTATTCCACATGGAACTATCAAATTAAATGGACTTAGATCAGTGGTAACGTTCAGTGCTAATCCATGAAATGTTATCCATTTAGATACCCTAATTCCAATTGCTGCCAGTTTCTGGTTTCCTGCAAGGGTAAAACAGAGGACAGTCATTCAGCTTTCGAGATTTCGTGCAAACGAAAACAACAAAAAACATTCGACTTTTGAAAACTGTGCTTATTTTCTCTGCTTATTTTCTCGTCATTTCTCTACTATAAGTTATGACAAGTTCCATCGTTATTCAGAATTCTCAACCAAATTTCAAAAAGAAATTTGAAAACTACTTTTTTCTAGTTTTCAAAATTTGGCTTGGTATTTAAAAATATATGTAAAAAGTAGACAATAAAACAAGAAAACTCATAGAGAATTATCAGCGACCTAGATCGAACTCAATAGCGCCATTGCCAAGCGGTAGGTTCATAGGAGTAGTACTATCGAGCTTGACCTAAGCCAGATAAACAAGAAAACTCATAGGTGGAAGTAGTATATGGTTATCCAACCTAGCCTTTTTTTTTTAGTTTTCGAACTTGACTTGGACAAATTCATGTGTGAAAATAGTGTTTATAATCTCAATTTTTTAAAACCAAATGGTTATGCATAGAACCCTCAAGAAATTGGCAATGTTTTGTAGAAAAGAAAAACAAAAATTTCCGATTAAGGATACTGAATATTAGCTCAAGAACAAAAATGTTTGCCATTGCCAAGTAAACAGCACAAGTCAGATAATCTAGAATCAAAACAGAAAAGGTGTGTATTTGCAATATGCTACATACAAATTTCAGCCAAAAACTACAAGGAATACCTGCCCAGACGCCCGTTAAACCATCGACCCGATTAGCATTGATCGAGAACGTCGAGGAAAGAACACGTATAATGACCTCCTCAAGTGCCCTGAGGTACCAATGAAGATCCATCTTGTGATTTCGTAGATTGATAATAGGGTACATAACTATCTACAGCACAGGACAAATCCTATCAATGTCATGTAAACGACCCTCAGAAACAAAAACAACCAAACCAGTAACTCTTGAGTTTTTAACTCCTAAATTACCAAAACATTGGGAAAACAAGCATCACATTACAATGTGAAGAACACAGCTTAAAATTCAGACGAGAAAAAGGTGCATATACTCTTAAGTTTAATGTGAAATGATTCAAACAAAAATTACCCAGTAAATGCACTACATCCTTAACCAAGTTCATATCAAATCCTTAGGTCAATGATTAGAAACCACTATCAATTACCTGGCCAGGGCCATGATATGTAACTTCCCCTCCACGCTCGGTGCGGTAAATGGAAAAGGGAGAATCCTTGGGATCAAAATTAAGAAACTCTTCAGTACTGTTAGTGCCCAATGTGTACACAGGAGGATGCTGCAAGACAATTAGCGAATCTGGGCAATCCTCGTTCGCATCGATCAATGCTATTTTTTCTCTCACGATATCCTTTTGCCAAGACCATGCATCGTTATATGGAATTAGATCTCTGTGCAAATCGAAACATTCGCACCTGCAAAATCCCAATCCATACATATAGGTAGATACCACAGAATGCGCACATAACCTGTTTGTGAAAATGCGCGAAAGATAAACTTACGTTCTTTGTTGCGCATTCAGCGTTAAGCGTGATTTTGAAGCTTTTGGGTGAAGAACTCGATCGAATTTAGCGATTACCTTTCGAGGATGAGACCATGGTGATTCCGGCCGACGGTGGGTGCGTCCGCAGCTTGGAAAAAAGCTGGCAGAGGGCGTAGACAGAATCATTTCCATGTTAAATCAATAGAAAGATCAGTAAAATCAAGACCCATTGCATTAGGGCATGATCTCGAACCAGAAAATGGAAAGAAAACAAAAAAATTTGAACAGAAGAAGGAGAACTAAATTGAACAGCTTTAGACTGCAACGGAGCGGAGTTTGCAAGAAATTTAGATGGCCGATATTTATAGGTGGTCGATATCGGTTGGTTTCTTAAAAAAACCGGACCGAACCAATGGTTTTTGGTGGCAACGGCGGAGATGCTCACCTAACCCAAGACCGCCCAAACCGGGAGTAAATTTCTGGTCTAGACCGAAAGAGTGAGAAATATTTTTAACATGGCTCATCCTCGACTTACCTCGGACCAGCTTAATATAAATATATTTTCAATGCATACTATATATATACCAGCTTTTTTTTATTATTATTAAAAAAATAAATTAGTTAATTTTTAAATAATATTTAAATTTAAATTTAAATATATTATGTTATAGGTTTTTTTAAGGGTTAAAAACTATGTTATAATATTGGTATCGGTTAGTTTTTTAAAAAACCGGACCAAACCAATTGTTTTTGGTGGCAAGGGTGCATATATGGAGATGCTCACCTAACCCATGGGGACCGCCCCGAGAGTAAATTTTCAGTTTAGACCGAAAAGAATAGGGGAGGGAGTGAGAAATATTTGTAACCGGTTAGATAAATGTGGTTCGTCCTCACCAAAGTTCTCCGCCCCACCTCGTCTCTTACCCGCTTAATATAAATATATTTTCAATGCATACTATATATATATAATGGTTTAAAACTATGTTATAATATTGAATTTTAAATTTTTAAAAATTACGTTGGTAAAAGATATTATATATATATATATATAATAGATTTATTGACATTTTTTAATAAAGATTATATTAAAAAAATTTAAAATAACTATTTATTTAAAAGAAAAATTATCCGTGGAAGTTAATCCCGCAAAAATAAATGAAAAATTATACCATATAATTTTTATTAAAAAATTGCAAACATAATGTTTTATCATATAATTTCTAAAAAATAAAAAAAAATTAATATTTTACATACAAAAAAATTAATCCTGGAAAGTTTAGATGTTATAATATATAAATAATAATATTTATAAGAAACTCCAAAAAAAAAA